TGTTGTACACATTCAGATATACCTGATAACAGCCAGTAGAAGACTACTCCAAAATATATTTTTGACTTATTGCACGCTAATTTCATCAAAGTAATTCGTTTTTTTTTCTTCATATGTTGTTGAGGGGCCAAAGAAAGACTTCAGACTAAAAATATCCAATATTCTTCCTATTTTTCTTGGATTGGGCTTTAAAGGGTTATACATGCAGACACTTCTTGTGTTACATGTCAAATCAAATCAAATCAAAGCTCTCGAGGGAAGAAGAGGGTTCCCCTTCATCCCAAAATGGCCTCACATGAAGCCAGCAGCAGCCCCCTCACATACACAGATTCATCCACATTCTCATAGTTTGTCAGGACCCCATTTTAGCTTTATAAAACGGTTTAATTCAGTACGATTTGTCGTGTTTTGCCCCTCAGGACTGCCTTGAATTACGGTACTCTAATTCGCGCGAAGCGGCTTGAGAATGCAAATGACATCGTCAGATTGTTTGAAGATCGTGCAAAACAAGGCAGCTTAGTATTGTTCAGTCTTTGCCCTTGAAGTCTCCTTTCTGTGGGTATTTTAATAAGGAGTGCAATGCTGTGTGTTGGCTTCTCTGCTTCCTGGCAGTCAGTCTGGACTCTCAGTTTAAAGGAGGAGACTTAGCAACAACCCCCATCCGGTAGTCGGATGTTTCTAGGGGCTCTAACTCGCGCTCTGCTCCTCAGACGACGGCGTCGGAGACATTTGCGAGTCCGACTTCGACCAGGACAAAGTGATCGACCGGATCGATAACTGTCCCGAGAACGCCGAGGTCACGCTGACCGACTTCAGGGCCTATCAGACGGTGGTGCTGGACCCCGAGGGCGACGCCCAGATCGACCCCAACTGGGTGGTTTTGAACCAGGTGAGGGAACTCTCAGTCCTCGTGTTGACAGTTGTCCTGCGGCAAAGAGAGAGAGAGAGAGAGAGAGAGGGGTGTTAGAATTTGGTCATAATTACTCACTTTAGCATAGTATGCTATCACATGATCTATGTAAATTACTGATTGTTGTATTCCTTCCTCACCTGGGCTTCATAACGCTTACGCAGCATTAATTCCCTCTCACAGCTCCTCTTACAGAGCTCCTGGTCCCAGAGGGCAGGTATTTTGTGCAGAAAACTCTCTGAAAGCCGTCCGAATGCTATCTTTTCGGTTAGCGGCCGGTGAACAAAGCGGAGGCTTTAGCAGCTTAAGAGTCAGATATTTCCCGGGAGAGGCTAAAAACAGAGATAAAGGCAGTGGGAGAGCGTGCACTTTGAGGCAGAACTCCATGGAAATTGGAGTTGCAAGCATGTAGCTAAACCTTTTGAAATGGTTGTGCTGATATTATACAGCTGGTTGGATAAAGCTAATCATCTCTCCTGCTTCCAAACAGGGAATGGAGATCGTTCAGACCATGAACAGCGATCCAGGACTCGCGGTCGGTAAGATGCTCACAGTTCTTCTCAAAAGCCTGAAAGTCTGGAAGTGCAAAAAATATAAATAAATAAACTAGAAAAGGGCTGTTCCTGTGGAAAAGCTGTGAGAATGCCAAGTGCTGAATGGATGAAGAAGGAGAATAAGCCAAAGAAAAGCTTAAAAAGACATAGAACTCAAGAGTTAAAGAAGAAGGGAGGAAGCAGAAGAATAAAGGCTGAAGGAAGGAATGATTTGAAAGATTTGAACCGACGACTTATAGATCTGTAGTCAAAGGCTCTACCACTGGGCTATACCACTGGGCTATACCACTGGGCTATACCACTGGGCTATAACACTGAGCTCTACCATTGAGCTATACCACTGGGCTATACCACAGGCTGAAGGGATGGAGAGAAATTCGTAGGAAAATTTTGAAGGGGCTAAAATGCCAGTGACCAGCAGAGGGAGCCATAGTTTTTTCTCCATTCATTTCAATGAGAGGAATAAGGCATAAAAAGTTAAATATCTTAAAAAGTCGAAGAGATTTGAACACTAAAAGTCATAACTGCCTAGTCCTGAGATAGCTGAACATTTTGATACCTTATTTGTTGAAATAGGCTGAAAGGTATAGGAGTAGTTATACACAGAAAAACGTACGGAATATGGAATAATAAAGAAAAACAGGAAAACAATAGTGAGATAAGAATAAGAAAGATAGAAAGGAAAAAGGTCTCATTTCGCTTCCTGTTGCCAGGTTACACGGCCTTCAGCGGCGTGGACTTTGAGGGGACGTTTCACGTGAACACGGTCACCGACGACGACTACGCCGGCTTCATCTTCGGCTACCAGGACTCGTCCTCCTTCTATGTGGTCATGTGGAAGCAGACCGAACAGACCTACTGGCAGGCCACGCCCTTCAGGGCCGTGGCTGAACCAGGCATCCAGCTGAAGGTGAGTCTGGGCTGGACCCCCCCCACCAGAGATGTCCAGTAACAAAGTAGAACTACTTAAGTACTGTACTTAAGTACCAAAATGCAGTATCTGTACTTTATTGGAGTAGATATTTTTTCCCCTACTCGTTACTGAAATGTAAACGTAATGATAGATAGCTCTGTCAGGGTTTGGGAAGCTGGCTCCTCATTGGGTGATTTGAACGATCAAGCATAGCCTATTAAAAAAAGCCTCCCGAAAGATTTTTAATTATAGCCTTCAAAAATTCCCCATCTAATCTGAAGAATCATATCAAGGTAAGTTAAAAAATACAATGACATATAGGCTAGTAAATAAGCGCTAGTTCAGTTCTCCCTGTTCACTCAGGACGTAGCAGCTAGGTTAGCTAAAGCTAACCTAGCTGGCTAGCTGTATGATAACGTTAGCTAAAGCTAACCTAGCTGGCTAGCTGTATGCTACATGCTAGCATAAAGGCTCAGCTCAGGATTCTGACTCTGGAATAATAAATAATAGTAGATGAAGTGCTGTTGATGCTAATGCAGATGTAGTTTTCTGTTTTTGTAAACACCTGTATGGCCTTTCACACTTTAGAAATAATATAAACAATATCTATCAAACTTTTGACTGCCTTTTTTTTTTAATATACACAGCACTTGTACTTTTACTTATACTTGTACTTTCAATACTTGAGTAGAAACTTTTGAAATACTTCTACTTGCAATACTTAAGTACAAAAAAAATGGAGTACTTCCGTACTTCCACTTAAGTATGATGTTTAAAGAACACTTCTACTTTTACTCAAGTAAATTTTTTTACATAGTACTTGTACTTCTACTCCACTCCTCTACTCCAGTACTTTAAACATCTCTGCCCCCCCACGCCTTCCCGCCCTAACCCTAACCCTAACCCTAACCCTAACCCTAACCCCGCAGGCTGTAAAGTCCAAGTCGGGCCCCGGGGAGCACCTAAGGAACTCGCTCTGGCACACGGGGGACACCAACGACCAGGTCCGGCTGCTGTGGAAGGACCCCAGAAACGTGGGGTGGAAAGATAAAGTGTCCTACCGCTGGTACCTGCAGCACCGCCCACAGGTGGGCTACATCAGGTACGGCCATAAACCCACAGGAAAACACGGAGAACAGGCAAACGCCATCTTTTCCTTATAGAAAACATTTAAAAAATCCATATTATATGAGCATTTGGCCATGACCCTTTAAAGCCTGATCCAAGAAAAATAGGAAGAATATTGGATTTTTTTAGTCTGAAGTCTTTCTTTGGCCCCTCAACAACATGTGAAGAAGAAAAAACAGAAATTATTTTGATCAAATTAGCGTGCAATAAGTCCAAAATATATTTTGGTATTGTCTTCTACTGGCTGTTATCCGGTATATTTGAATGTGTACAACAGGGGTTTGAGCAAAGTTTTATTGAATGATGCAAAAAGTCTCAGATCCAAAAGACTTCAGAAACAGTATGAATCAAATATGATACATTTGGCATTATAGGGTTAAAAAATCCATATTATATGAGCAAAGTTGACCAAATTTGGCCTTAAATGACCAAAACATCCATACATTTCCCTTATCCTTATATGGCCGCCCAACCTGAGACATGGTTCTGCTCCAGGTTTCTGCCTGTTAAAAGGAAGTTTTTCCTTCCCTGTGTCACCCAGTGCTTCCTCTTGGTGGAAATTGTTGGACTTCTGTAAATAACTTCAGAGTCCAGTCTGACCTGCTCTGTTTGGAAAGCTGGGGGATAACTTCTGTTGTGATGTGGCGCTATGGAAATAAAATTTAATTCAATTTAATTTAATTATACAAAGCCTGAAACTGGTCAATGAAACACCGAATGATATATATAAATGTTTCAATGAATTAAAAAGTTAGAAATTTTACTGAAAGTGGGGACTGTTGATCCAGAATATAAATCCGGCAGCTTTTGTTAGCAGCTGCAGGAAAACCAATGCTAACGTCTCCAAACCTGTTTTGATATTTTTTCTGCTCAGAGCTCGCTTTTATGAGGGGACTGAGCTGGTCGCCGATTCGGGAGTGACCATCGACACGACCATGAGGGGAGGACGGCTCGGCGTCTTCTGCTTCTCGCAAGAAAACATCATCTGGTCCAATCTGAAGTACCGCTGCAACGGTAGGTTGGATATACTGTGGGGGAAATAAGTATTTGACCCCTTTGCTGATTTTGCAGGTTTGCCCACTTACAAAGAATGCCTATTTTTCCTCATCAGATGGTTATCAATTTCTATAAATTCATATGATGTGATTTTCTGGAATTTTCTTTGGGATTCTGTCTTTCATTGTTAGAATGTACATATGATTAAAGTTATAGATCGTTGCATTCTTTGTAAGTGGGCAAAACCTGCAAAATCAGCAAGGGGTCAAATACTTATTTCCCCCACTGTATGTTGTGTTTTTATCCGTTTATTCACACGACAAATTGCCAGAAACTTCCATTATGTTTATGTTTCTGCATTTGGCAGACGCTTTTATCCAAAGCGACTTACAGAGTCGACACAATATTACATTTATCATCACTATGACAATAAGCTATCCAGAGGAAAAACACTGATCAGAGTCAGTGGTGAGATAGAGATAGAGGTAGAGGGACTACAGAAGGAGCTGTGGGGGGGGTAGAGGTACGGGTTAGGGTTAGGTTTAGTTTGAGCTGAAGTCTGTGTAGTTTTATTCCTTTCTCAAAGTCCATAAAACTCGGCAGTCCTTCCCGACCTCTTGTCTTTCGTCGGAGAAAAGGGTCACGATTAATTTTGGTTGGGAGGGAAACTTTGGCTGTGAGGGGAATGAGTTTGACCCCGCTCATAAAATCGGTCACTTCCACAGATACCATCCCGGAGGACTTCCAGGAGTTCAGCACCCAGCATGCGGCCGACTCAATCTGAAGCCCAGCAGAAATATGAAAGCAGATGGAGAGGGAATGCATCTGCTTGACCGGGGGGGGGGGGGAGTGTGAGAGCATGGGAGTGTTTTTTATTTTTGTGTGTGAAAGTGTATTGATGTGTACAGTTTCCAAACAAGTATGACCACCATCTTTGTACTGTATCTCCATTATATGAAGTCATTCTACCCAAATGTGCTCTCTAAATTTAACCAATCACTAAAATTCTGAGCTTATTATGCTGAATATTGTAAGTTATAAGGAATTATACCAAAGACAGTGTAAAGTGATGTGACTCAGGCATTATAAATGGGTGTACAAACTATTAGCAGCATTCCTATCGTGGATTTCCAGCTTCAGACCTATTTTCCAACAGTCTGCTTATTCCAAATGTAAGTAAAATCCATCATAATAAATCCTCCTTTGATTGGCGGCTGGAACTATTATAAAGTCTTTTTTTATTTCTGCTCACATCCAACACGTTCAGCAGTTTGTTTCCAGAGTCTGGCGGAGCTTTGAGAATTAATTCTATTTTCTCTGGTTTCAAGTTTTGTTCCTTTAAATCTTCACGTTTGCCAGGTTTGTGTCGCCTTTTTTCTCTTCAAAAACCAATTCAAGACTGCGGCATTGCACAGAAAGCGCTTAAATGTGATAAAACTAAAGGAAAGACCACGTTTCTTCTGCTTTAGCTCATAACTGGTGTTGCAGAAATGCCGACTCAGCTCCTCTGAGACGAGTCCAGCACATCTGGGCAACACTCACTTTTCCTGGAGAGGACCAAGAGTTGTTCATTTCATCACTATGCAGAGACCCTGCTCAAAATAAACACATCCAAACTTATTATTTAACATGTTTAAATGTCCATGCCACCGAAACATTGCAGTGGATGTTCATTATAGGTCCCTACTTCCCGCTAATTCTCCTTTTCCCAGCGGTGCCCCGGCAACAAAGGCCCCTGTTCTGCTTCATCAGGAAATCCTCTCCTAATGAGAACATTCTTATCCCCGATTAGCTGCAGCATGGAGGGACTTTGGTCCCAGCTCCAGGCAGGAGTCCCCCGGAAAAGAGACACAGATGAGCTCCTTTTGGTTTTTGCTTTCTTTTCAAAAAACGAGAAACCGTGCAGATGATCAAATTTGGCTGCTGCTTGAAACATCTGTAATTCATCATCAAAGACTGTGAGGTAAGAAGAAAAACAACATTTTTTCATGAGATTAAATTAATAGACGCAAAAAGTCTGTCTATTCCTTTTTAAGTAGTCAATCTTTTAACCATAAATCATTAATGATATATCTTGTGAACTGGGGGTGAATTTTCTCTTTATATCTTTGGTATTTCTAAACTAATAAACCCGTCAGTTTGCAGTTAAATCCCCGTACATGCAGCATGACTTAATCTATTCACAGGTCGATGATCAATAGATTAAATGTGAAAACTGCTGTGTTGGCAGAAGTTTTTGAAAGATAAAATCTAATTTCAAGTAAAACAGGAAAGGTTTCTGTTTCTGAACTGCTGAACAAATAAAAAAAATAAACGTATAGAGTAAGTAAAATCGTTTATTGCTTTTACAAAGTCTCAGTACTTTTTTTATGCCAGCAACACAGAAAAAGTTAGAGATACAAAATCAGACAGAAAAATGAACAAAGTATGCAGGTGGCAGGTGAGGGTGCCACGGTTGGGTATAAAAGGAACATTCAACAAAGAGACTCTAATTAACTCTAATTCAATGCTTTGTTCACAGCTTTAGAGGAGAAAAATCAATCCAAAACCAATCAGGATATGAAGAAAAGTTTAGAAATGAACCTTTTTTGTTCATTTATGGTGCAGAATCGCACAATAGCCACCCAACACAGGTCATTTATCTTAAGACTGGTTCTTGTCTATGTTTTCATTTGCCAGAATAGGTTTAATAGCCAGTTTTTGTTACCTAAACACAGGATGGGTGGCTCAATATCGACATGTACAGAATCCATTTTCATTTTCACAAATGCTAATCATGTGTTTTTGTCCAGTGACCAAATTTAAATCAAAATTAGATAAAAAATGTGTCATTATCTGCATTAAAACCTGCTGCAAAAGGTGTATAATGACATTTTGGGACATGTAGTGCTACTAATAACTACTACTAATATATGTATACTACACCTACTATTATCTAGTTAGTTTCCAGTTAGTTCTGCTGGATAATGTTTGGCTTCCTTCTGCACAATTTTAGAAACTCAGAAACCGGCCGGTCTGCTTCAGAAATCTGTCTTTAATTAAAACATGTTACCATGAGACACAGACGCAGGCTGTTGAACATTGTATTCAGCCAGAACGGACATAGTTCCCTCCTGTGACTGAGGGCTAGCATCCTCTGTTCCCGGGATATTAAAAGGTGCAAAGGGAAGAGGAAGGGTTATGTAACACAACGGTACACACACATTTCTCTCCCCACTTTCCATTTGAGCTGTGTTTGTGTTTCTTACTCTGGATTTGTTTGTACTTTCCATTACAATGAAGCTGTTCTGTGAAAAACACGTCTGTGGAGTACAAGAATGAATCAAATTTGCAGTGTAACGCAAAAAAAAAGGCTAATTTGAATCTTTTTTAACCAGAAATGTGCAGCCCTGGAGATTTCTTCTCCAAAATATCATGCATCTAATGCATGTTAACAATCCAAAGACACAAAGAATATACAGGACTGTCTCAGAAAATTAGAATATTGTGATAAAGTTCTTTATTTTCTGTAATGCAATTAAAAATCATGAAATGTCACACATTCTGGATTCATTACAAATCAACTGAAATATCGCAAGCCTTTTATTGTTTGAGTTTGCATTTGAGAACATTTTGATTTCTCTTTATTTTGCGTTCAGAAAAAGTGTTAAATCACCAAACTTTTGCACGTCAGACTAAAAAGTTTGTCGTTCCTGATTAGCTGTTAGATTTAGGATCCGGCTGAGTCGTGTCGGGACGCTTTTGTTGGAAAACTCTTCAGAGAAAAAGGTTACAGATCGACTCTCATCCGAGCTCTTCTCGGCTTCTGTTTACTGAGCTATTCTGCTACGTTTGACTCTTTGAAGCCTCGTCACACAGAAGAAGAAAAGAGCTGAGAGATCAAGAGGCGAGCAGGTATCTGGGTAACAACAGAACCGGGACTGAACCGGGACCTGACACGTGATTTAAGACTCTCCTTCTTAAATCTGCTTTGATCACTCCTTCAAAAAAACCCACAATAAATGGATGTTTTTTTCGTAAAAATAGCATCGGAAAAACGGATCACGCTTCACTATTGAAGTCGTTTCCGCTCAGGGAGCAGAGAGGAATCATGTTCACAGCGATTCAGTTTGTGTGCACGGAGGCGTGGACGTGCACGGTCAGGGCCCATAGGCCCAGAGTTAAGGGTCATCGACCTCTGACGGGGGCCGGAAATTAAACCGAGGCCACAAAATACAGTGGGGGAAATAAGTATTTGACCCCTTGCTGATTTTGCAGGTTTGCCCACTCACAAAGAATGCAACGATCTATAACTTTAATCATATGTACATTCTAACAGTGAAAGACAGAATCCCAAAGAAAATTCCAGAAAATCACATCATATGAATTTATAAAAACTGATAACCATCTGATGAGGAAAAATAAGCATTCTTTGTAAGTGGGCAAACCTGCAAAATCAGCAAAGGGGTCAAATACTTATTTCCCCCACTGTAAATGCAAAAAACACCTTTAAAAATGGACAGATCGCATCAGAAATGTCAGCGAATCAGGACACGCCATCAAGATATGCATAGATTCTATAAATGTCGGCAAAATAACAGAAAAAAATCACAAAAAAAATCAGGCAGAAAGTGGACGGAGAGCAAAAACGGGGTGAATTTATGAGAGATTTTGGTTAGAGAGGAGCACTGTTGTTAACTCAGCTGTGACTCACAGGAAGCTCTTCTCCCCTAAAAAGCTTCTGATTATCTCAATAGCAACTGGCTGCAGTTATTGGCCTTATTAAGAGCAACGTTTGGCTTTATGTGGGCTTTCTAAATGACACCTGATTAAAGATGAGGCCTCTTTGCCTGGGAGGAAACTCAACAGCGTCAGAGGTGATGATGAGTTTAGATAATCTCATAAACAGGATGTGGAGCGTCATCAGATGCTCAAACGAGCTCCAAACTTAAGCCAAATTCCATATTTGAGCATTTGTGCGTATGAGGAAATTAGTTCAAGTGAGTAAATTGAGTTTTCTGAATGTTTCAGCTTCACACTTTAACTTTTTTTTTTATTAATGGCGTCCAATGTCAACTGAGAAAATAATCAATAATAAAATAAGGTTATAAACAGCATGGCCAAAAGAATTATTCATATTATTAATATGATTATTATAATTTTGATGATGATGATGATGATGATGATTATAATTATCATTATTGTCATAACTTTTTTTTTTATTAATGGAGTCCAACGTCAAGTGAGAAAAGGCCAAATAAGAAGGTTATAAACAGAATGGTCAAAAGAATAATTCATATTATGTTTATGATTATGATTGTTATCATTATTATATTATTGTCATTATTTTTACACATTATTCTATTCAACAGTACTTATATATATATATATTCATATATGGAATTAATAATGCTATTGAATAGAATAATGTGTAAAAATGTTATTACAATAATAATCATAATTATTACTATTATGATTACTATTATATATTAAACCTATTAATAATAATGTAATAACAATATGAATTCAGTTCTAATCTGTATGACTGTCAGATATCTAAGTGAATAGCTGCTGATATGAGCAGTGTTAATAAACAATAACTTATTAGAACATTTTCTTTGGGATGTGTGTAATATACAGGAAATGACAGCAACCATGGTCACCAGCATCGAGCGTCCAGCAGAAGCTCCAGCCGGTTCCCGTCTCCTCAGAGTGGCCGGGCTTTTTACCGGAGACATGAAGCCCCTCGGAGAGTGGGTCAGAAGTGAGTGACCCTTTAAATCAGTGTTTTTCAACCCCCTGTGTTGAAACGAGTGATTGCCAGGTGTGCCGTAGAAAATCATCCTATTTCACCTAATTGGTCTAAAAAGACTTTTTGATAAGGAATTAATTATCTGCAAATAATAATTTTCTGCTAATAATATGCCATTTTGAGTGTCTGTGCTGTTCTAGTGACTGTTGGCGTAATCATGTAATAATTCCTTATGACTAGATTTTGTATATGATTTTGTATATTGAAGTGGACATGTTAACTCATTGACTGGCAGCCATTTTCAGAACAGAGTCCCATACTGCCAGAGTTTTTTGAGCATTTTGACTGATTTTTCAAGAGCCACAGAATAGTTTGTGCTATGACTATGTAAACACCGAACACACCAAAAGAAAGAGTAGACTCTCTTCTTTCATCAGGAAAATTTTTTTTTCTACCTTATTCCGTTCTTCCTCGACGTGCGTCTCACCGGTGCCATTTTTCGCATAGCGAACCGTTCCCTTTTTCTTATTTGCCTACAGTCTATGCTCATCTCCCATCAAAAGTGGCACTGCCCCCTAGAGGGTAAATTTGTTACTACATACTCTGTCTAGAAGCCTGATATTTACGGACAAGCTTTAGCAGATCGTCCCCCAGCCACTCTCGTTGAAAAACATAAAAGACGTCTATAGACGTCTTTGGCAGCCAATGAGTTAAGTGCAATTTGAAAGAAAAATATAAAATATGATAAAAACACATTTTTGTTTATTTGATTCCTATTCAAGACACTTAAGATAAGATAAGAATAAAATAAGAATAACTATAGTGTTACTATAGGCGGCTACAGATTTGTTGAACATTTTTGGTTGGTGCTGTGCCTCGAGATTTTTTCAATGAAAAAATGTTCCTTGGCTCAACAAAAGGTTGAAAAACACTGCTTTAAATGACAGTCCAGACCCCCGGAGGTTTTGAACCCCTGGGTGTCTGCCACAGGGCGTGTTGTATATTCGACTGATCCAAAGACGAAAAGGAGTCGGATGGATATAGTTCAACTGAACTTTAGTGAATAATAATAAAGGGATGAACGAATTATACATTACAATACACAACAGAGTGTAGGTGATCGGCTAACATAGCTCTTTTTCTCGGTAAACTCCTCAATTCTCACTTCTTCGTCTAACCTCCAGTTCCTCTTGCACCTGTGCAAAGCATCGTGGGATATTGAGTCCATTCTGTGAAACGACCACAAATAGTCAGTTTTGAACCAGATACTAACTATAAACTGCTAACTGGATTTATGAACTAACTGCAACAAAATAGTTACCCGATATTAAATTATAATCTCCCAAATAATAAGTCCAAAACAAATCCTGGTTAAACCCAAAACAAATTCTCAACAGGGCGTCCGGTGGGGGTCCGGCTGCTGGACGGAGTCCTCCGGGGGCTCGGCCAGGTTTTGTTCGCCAACAACCCACTCAGCGGCCTCCTCATCCTGGGGGGGCTTCTGCTGCAGAACCCCTGGTGGGCGCTAAACAGCCTGGTGGGGGATGCCGTCTCCACCGGATCGGCCCTCTTACTCCGACAAAACAGGCGAGTGTCACGTCTGGGGGAATGTCTGGTGTCTCGTCATGTCTTGATTACCTATTGTGTACACCTGGGGTTCCCCTCCCTCATGTGTTTAAATAGTCCTCGTTTCCCCTTGTCCTGTGCCAGTTCGTTTGCGTCCTTCTTGTTTGGTTTGATTTTTGCCATAGCCATGTTTTTGCCACAGTCTTGTTAATCTTTATTTTGTTACTTTGTCATAGTCATAGTTTTGCCACAGCCGTGTTTTTGTACCTTTGTCTGGACTTCCACCTTTTGTTACAATAAACCCCGTTTTTCCGTCATCTCTGCGCCTGAGTCCTCCCTCAAAACCCACCTTCATGACAACAGCTAGCCAGCTAGGTTAGCTTTAGCTAACGTTATCATACAGATGTCACGTCTGGGGGAATGTCTGGTGTCTCGTCATGTGTTGATTACCTATTGTGTACACCTGGGGTTCCCCTCCCTCATGTGTTTAAATAGTCCTCGTTTCCCCTTGTCCTGTGCCAGTGTGTTTGTGAGTTTTTCTTCACCCCTTCGGCACGTCAGGTTTGATTTTTGTCACAGCCATGCCATAGCCTAGTTTACTTTATTGCCATAGCCCTGTTTTTGTCACAGCCTTGCCACAGTTTTGTTAATCTTGATTTGATACTTTGCCATAGCCTTGTTTACCTTATCTGATACTTTGTGTTCATAGTCATGTTTAATCTTGATTTGATACTTTGTTCATAGTTTTGCCATAGCCATGTTTTTGCCACAGTCTTGTTAATCTTTATTTTGTTACTTTGTCATAGCCATGTTTTTGCCACAGTCTTGTTAATCTTTATTTTGTTACTTTGT